TCACACTAAAATATTATTGGTTTTCGAACGATATTTTTGAATTTATTAGCTTTCACTAAGTGGGTCCTACACGGACATTAGAAAATAATTTTTAAACATTTTTATCGCTAGTAATGTATGTATGTGGGAATGCTTGTTGAGAATATTGAAATATTTTTATGAGCGTAGGCGTGCCGATTATTGATCTAGTTTTTATTAATTAATGTTGAAATGTTACTAATTTGAAACGTGATATGCCTTAGTTTTTTTAATGTTATCCGTTCGTTTAAATTTCAAAACTAATTTATAATTAGGCTATCGGAACTAGGTATAATTTAAAGATTTCATAACTTTTGTTTTTATGTCATTAATAGGAAATCTTTCGGCATTTTTTTTTGTTCTATGCTCTATTTGAGAAAATATTTAAGTAATACGCAGGGCCATTAAAATAAATGATGTAAGTCATTAATACACCCAGATAACAGAATTTTGATAAATACTAAATAACAATATGAAGTATTACTTTAAAACATTAATTAAATTTAAATAAAACTTACCATTTTAATTGCCATGAGCAAAAATATTGATATCCAATGTATTGAATAAATCATACATAAAACAAGTAGGCACTGCGTTCGTTTAAAAAACTTAATATAACAACACTATGGAACTTTTTAAATTTGGAATACATCACTATAATTTAACCACGTTAATTTTTAATCATCGATTCGAATATTCCATTTTCAAATGCGCGCGGTTGCGGGATTTACTATGAGCGTCTAGTGTTGCCCGCGACCTGATCCATACTGCACAGCTAACGCTTCTCTATCGTTTGACGAAGCATTCGATTAGAACGAACCGCTTTATTGGAATTCCATCGAGTTTTAGCTTATTCGCTTGTAGTGATAAAAATAATTTTCATCTAATGAAATATGTAGGTGGATAAGGATTTTAGTTTTTTATGTTACGCTGTAACGTGCAGAACTAACAGTCTGCATAATTGTGCAATTTTTGTGTGTGTTTTTATGTAGTCGTATTAAATGATAAACTGTTTCAGGGAATGAAATGTTAAAAGCAAGGGCACGCTTAATATTGGTGGTGTGAAAATTTACTAAGTGAACATAAGTTTTATTTAGTGTACCTATATTTACTGTGTGAATTTTTTTTATTTGTTGTAGTTTTTTTTTGTCGTTGTAAATATGTATAAATAATAAACCATTTCGAGTTATGATTTGTTCAAATTAATAAGCGATTAATTACACATGTTAAATTTAATGAGCAATTAATTTATTCAAGAACGATATATATATATATATATATATATATATATATATATATATATATATATATATATATATATATATATATATTCAATACTTAGGTACTCTTAGATTAAATGTAAATATATGTGGGGGATATGCATTTTTTTGGTATTTTTTTTTGAGGTTTAGCGATGATATTTATGTGTAATATTTACTATATAAGACTAATTTTCACGGCCATCGTTAAAGTTTGTTTCTTTTATCAAAAAGGATTCCTAATAAACTTAATACATTCCTAGTAATCACATTACCATTTGAAAAGTCCTAAAAATCTCTTAAAGGACTTATTCATCTCTGTGGCTAAAAGTTGTGAGTACCAGCACGGAGTCTCAAAATAATTATGTGAGTTAAAAAATGTTGTGATGGCAATACAGAATAAGTAAAAAGCATAGACTAGACAGATTGACATCACACCGACAACACTTAAGCGTCACACTTAAGTATTATTAATACATATGTGTATAATAATCTATATACAAATAAATACAATTGGAGTGTCTGTTTGTAATATTAAAATAACCGCTTTTTACTAAATGCATATGTATGTTTACACGGTACATATTATGCCAAAATAACATTTTTCACAATTTTTGTTTGTCTGTCTGTCTGTTTGTTCCGGGTAATCTCTGGAACGGCTGGACCTATTTCGACGGGACTTTCACTGGCAGATAGCTGATGACATAAGGAGTAACTTAGGCTACTTTTTTTAGCCTAGCTTCGCCCCGCGGCGTTGCCCGCGGTTATAACAACAGTCTCAGCTAGTTTAAAAATAAATTTAATATAATTTAGGTTTTATTTTGGCGAGGGGTATTCTGTCGTAGCCTGAGCATACTGAGCTATATAGAACTCGTTCACTTTTTACGAGTACCTACCTACATTAAGTAGTATGTAAGGTTTATCTTTATAGCACGTGTTTACCTTACTTTTATCACTTACTATATTGAATAAATTATGTTTTATACCCATACACCCTCATATATTTCTTTAAATTATTTACTTTAAATATTTTCAGTAGTAAATGTCTGCGATTTACATATTTTATGTCATAAATTTCTCGGACAATCGCCTTCTATAGCACTAACAAATTTTAAGCATTATCTCATCATCATAGTTATGAGACATTTTTAATAATGGAATATCGCAAAGAATATTGCACATAAGTTAAAAAAAAAATTGCAGTGAAATGCATTGAATTTAAGTAACGTATCGTGTGGGATGTTATGTGTAATAATAGGTCTTTACCTATGAAATTGCCGTTTTGTATGCAATAAGTGAAAGTACTTATCTTTTCAAACTTTTTTATTTCTGTTATTCGAAGTAATCACCCATGCAACTACACTAAAAAGTTGTCTGGTGAGTATGGCGGATGAGGTGACCTTGCACCTACCGACTATTACTTTTTCCAAAATTTAGACAACTTTTTTTGCATACAAAACGGCAATTTCATAGGTAAAGACCTATTATTTTGCCAACATTAAACATAATATATATTCAATAAACCACACTACAGATTAGTAATTTGATCGTCAAGTGACACTCATCAGACAGTCGCCAAGTGCCAGTCATCCGATACAAAATGATGGCCTGACCTATTAAATACACATTTACGTCAACTCTGATAGCTTATTAATTTAGTTTAGTCGATTTTATTAGTCACTTATTAAGTGGCGCCTGTCCCCGCCTTAACGCATTCCTGAAGGACAATTTTGCATTATGTCAGCTTATTTGTATGATGTGATTGTGAAAAGCAGATTTGACTAACTAAAGCAGTGATAAGGAAGTGTGATGGTAGTTAGTTTTTGGACGACCATCCTATCCCATCACCATCCAGACTATTTTGGAAATATATGTCGGAAATATAGACGGGCCTGTTGGTCTAGTGGTTAGCGACCCTGACTGCTAAGCCGGAGGTCGTGGGTTCGATTCCCACCCAGGACAAATAATTGTGTGATGAGCACGATTATTTGTTCTGTGTCTGGGTGTAATTTATCTATATTATGTATGTATTTAGAAATATATAAGTATGTTTATCAGCAGTCTGATTACCATAGTACAGGCTCTGCCTAGTTTGGGATCAGACGGCCGTGTGTGAGATGTGCGAAATTATTATTATTATTATTATTATTACTATATTTATATTTCAGTTTTTATTTACAGGAGGGCAAACGAACAAATAGGTCACCTAATGGTAAGTGACACCGCCACCCATGGTCTTACGCAACTCAAGAGACGTTGCATTGCCAACCATTTAGTGACCCTATCCCCAGAAATCTTAAAATTGGAGAGGGGGGAGGTAGTTTGGACTTTGGTTACCTCAGTCGGGGAGAAATCGGTAAAATCAATCAATTAAAAATATGAATTCAGATGTCAGAGTTACACATCATATGGGAATAGTGTATGGTTTGCTCATTTTTTTATTGTTGTATGTAATTGTTTCGTAAAGTCTTGAACTAGATATTAAGTAGTACTAGGTAGTGAGTATCGACTATACTAGGTCATAGACGATCACTAGTCACTAAATAAGAGTGGCGACTTTCTACAGAGTTGCCATATCACATCATCAGCCTATCGCAGTCCACTGCTGGACATAGGCCTCTCCCATTGCACGCCACTTAGATCGATTTTGGGCTTCTCGCATCCAGCTCCTGCCAGCCATCTTGCGCAAATCGTCACTCCACCTGGCCTGTGGGCGTCCTACACTACGTTTGCCGAGACGCGGTCTCCACTCAAGAACTCGAGTTGCCATATAACTTTCAGTAATACCATTTTACATTATATAAATGTACTTGGGCCGATCCCAACTAACATGGGATTTGTTGACAGATGAAGCACCTTATCAATCTTTCCCTTGAATTTATAATACACTATTATCAGACTATAGTTTTTTTCATACAACTAAATTGGCAATTAAGCACTCGGTTTATATGCCACACAAGCGGTAATGCTATAGAACTGTCATTACTTTTTAGCAGTATAAATACTCTGAACGAGTAATTAACCGCGGTTTTTTGAAGTATAGAGGTCCTTCTCCAGCGTGGGAAAGATAGAAGCGCTCTTATCTACGCATGTATTCAGTCATATCTTGTCTGTCATGAGAGGCGGGAGGTTGGGTTGATATTTTGCCGCTGAACAGGTGGAAAATTGTTATTATAACCATCAGTAGGTCAACTGCTCATTATCAGGCGGAGTAGACATGACTGTTTTACATTTAAATGTCAAAAATAAATAAATTGCGGATTCCAATTGGGTTCGATTCCCGCTCAAGTCAAACATTTGTGTGCATGAACATTTGATGTTTGATTTGGTTTGGGTGTTTCTATGTATAATATGTATGTATTTACAAAAAAAAAGTATATATGTATTTATATCAGTTGTCTAGTACCCATAGTACAAGCTCTGCTTAGTTTGGGACTAGATGGCGTTGTGTGTATGTGGTAGAATATTATTATTATTATTTAAATGTTTCTGTCTGTGATGAAAAGAAAATGTTTTTAGGTTTCTAATTCTAACGAGGTTTTCAATGATGAGTATACTTGTTTCTGAACAGAAACGTTAAAAAAAATTGGAATCGTTCAGACCACTGGTTCAGACTAATAACAGATAGGTAATTGCATAGTTTTTAATAATTAAAAAATATATTTGATATGAAAATTTATAAAAAATAACAGTTTGTTCTTTTTTCAAATGTGTTAATTGAACTCACCGCGAGCAGAGTGGCCAGGGCGCTTGCCATGCGCATAGTCGCAGAGCGGCGCGTGCGCTGGCGGCGCTACGTGACGGAGGCGGCGGGCGGACGGGCGCGCGCGGGCCGCATCCGGCCGCCCTCCGATCCTCTACCACGGTCGCGACCACATCGCGCACCTATGGAATAACAAACATATTTATTAGCACAAGAATGTTTTCCTTTGCATCAGAGATACCTAAATGCTTTTTCAATGCACTTTTATGCTTTGAATGGTTAAAAAAACTCTTCAATGGGGTTAACAGTGAAATGATATATCTGAATCGAATCAACTAAAACCACATAATGTTACAGCCATATATTGCAATGGCTTGGATATAACCCAGGAATGAAGTCCCCGAGATCCCGGTTGGATCTTCATCGCCTCTTAAATTGTTATTGAAGAAGCGGTCAAGGTCTACCTGTGACTCCGGCCAGTGCAACCTCCACGTGTTCTGACGCATGAAGGTTGCACTGGCCGCTGATAGGCTGAGAAACACGAAAGTTTAAAAATAATGTTTTGATGTTGTTCGAAATACAAATATATATAAATAAGTATCTATGAATAAGGATGCTCCCTTAGTCGGCTCTTACGACACCTAAAGGCCTAAGACCCAATTAAAGGAACGGAACGGAGAGGGAACACTTGAAATAAACCCTATACCAACCCGTCTGGTCAGCGTGGTATAGTAGGCCAAAACCTCCTTTTTAAGGAGAGGCCTACGTCCAGCAGTGGACTCTTGAGGGCTGTAGATAATCATGATGATGAACAAAAAAAAAGCGATCATATTTGATTACTATTCCGACAAACATATGTACTTGAGTAAAACCGTAAATCTAGTTGATAATGAGTACCGATTATCTAACCGATAGTGAGTTTCTATTAAACAAATTGTTTCGATTCTTATCGGCTGAGCCGTCCTCAAGATGCTCCGTTATACACGCGGCGATGCCTTTCTATTTATCTCTATAAAGAGCAATAGTAAACATAACAAGTTTTAAGTTAAAATAATGGGAAAAATATTAACACATTGACGGAGTAAAACGTATTTGTACATTTTTAATAATGTGTGTATAGTATGCAGCTCATTAGACATATTTATTAAACTTGAAATTGATGACTTGAATAATCCTTACTAACATTCTGTTTACCACTATTTTACAAAATAGTCAAGTGCGAAAGTTTGTATAATAAAAATAATAGTGTGTCAGTAGATGATATAATGTTATAAACACTTTGAAAAGCCTTTTCTCTTTATTTCACATGCATTCTCAAGTCCTTCATTGGCTAAGAATTTCGCCCCTGTACCGTATATCTAACATGGCGCCTAACTCCTGTTCTAAGCGCATGCGCAGCGCAAGAAATGCCACACAAGCCACTCCCCTCTCCGTCACATTATAGGGTGATTCGAAACCCCTAGATGTTGCTTTCGAAAATTTTTCACTACACCTACACCTTAATATACAAATGGTTAAATAATAATATATAAATAAATTGAATTAGATAAAACCACATAGTATTTATAGTTTCTTTTCCTGAACTTATCTTATTTAGAGGAAGCGTCAAAAGACCGCTTTTTTTCAATAGAAGGTTTTGCGTTCATGATAGATAGAGGATAGTTGGGCCCTGCAATCTGCAATACCTAGTTCAGCAAACCTCTATTCAGGGAATTCGGTTTTTCTTCTCTGTTTATACCCGTAAATTGAAGTTGACCTGTCTTATCCAGCGACTGTGACTATATATTCTCCATTCTCAATGACATAAGTCTATTCTATTAATTCTAATTTCTTCTAAAACGTTCTTTTACATCTGTAATCCCTTTTTTTTTTTTTTTTTTTTTTTTCGTGCGGAAATCCCCTCGGATACCACCTGTCGGTGGCATGTCGGACTCGAACCGACTAAAACCGCACGCCTTCGCCGGGTACTAATAGCCGGGGAACCAGGTATACCCTAGAAAGGAAGGCCCTGGTGCCCCGACATACCTCGGGTCATCTACAGACGAGTAGACGACCCCCGCCCCGTGTGGGAACCCCATGTTCCCTGTGCTCCCTGGAAGCGAGCGCGCTTCGCAACGCGCTCGCCGCCACCCCGGCCTGCTTCTGCTAGGGTGACAGATGGCCTCACCTGTCACCCCCAGGCCTGCGCTTATGGAGGACGGAGGTCATTCTGCGACCTCCGGCGCCTGAGTCGCCTGCGCTGCCTGGCCCGTGCCCGGGCCTGGCGGGCCGGGAGAGTTCTAAACCTCTCCCGGTCCCGCTCCGCCGTCTCCTTCGCGAGCATAACTTGCTCGCAGAAGGAGAACATCTGTAATCCCTGTCCCTGTCTGTAAATAAAGTTCCTCGTAGCAGTTAGTCTGTTTTTATCAAGTTATTCGCATAAGTCTTGCAAAAAGCCTTATCCGTCTACAATCTTCCGCTTTTACAAAGATAAAATTCTTTTAAGAATAATACAATACATTTTCATTAAATTATTAAGTTGTTACATCAAAATATTCTAACTATCAGACTTTTGTCAAATAGATAATTATGACGTCACATTATATGTAGAGTCACGCCTCCATTGATGACGTTACAAATAACTTTAACGTTTAAATATTTGTCACACTAATAAGTCTTTAGCATTTTGTTTTGATCAGATAGACTATAATAGATTATTTCAGTTTGTCTACACAAGACATTAAAGGCTATTTTTCTTTAATGCGAGGTGTTCTTTCTTAGGCTTTTCTAGGAATATGTCTAGTGTCGTCGGGGACTTTACAGACATACATAAAACGGACACAAGAAACACCCACACTCAGACCAACAATTTGTGGATCATTCAGCATTGTCCCATGTGGATCGAACCCACAACACTCAGCGCAACAGAAAGCGGCGAGGTGACCGTTTAATTCACTCCGCCTCAATCAGTCACTCAGTTTCTTCGGTTTGCCACAGTTCCATGGAAAAGCAATGCAAAAGTAGAACCACTGCTGTTGCGAACCGCTTACCATCTGATACAGTTGCATGAAAATTAAATGACTTACGTTAAATCAATCTTCTGAATAAATTGTATAAATAAGGAATGCATTTCCTAGTTATTCACTTTGGCATGTTCTTGTCCTCAATGTTTTTATTTGGTATTAAAATTGTGTCCAATTACCGTTTATGTACATTTTTTTATCCAAAGTATTACATTATCAGCTAACCTCAGTTTCTTCACACATTCCTAAATTAGTGTCAACAAAGGTCTTAATATCTAAAACATGAGTCAGAAGCTTCATTTTAACCATTTAACACATATTTTGTTCATCGTTAATAGTATTTAACACATTAGTGACGTATTGCACAACAGACAACTTGTATCCAGAAAACATTGAGAATTATTGTTTTGTAAACACAAACATTTCTACATTAAAATCAACCAATTCATGGAATCACAAACTCTCGACTTGCTAGATTCAACTCTAGGACAGATTTTGATCAATTGGTCCATGAGATAAATAAAATATAAATATTTTTACTAAGCTACTAAGTGTCCGTGTGGTGATGGATTAAGAATACAGAGTGTCACCACCCCTATTCATCCCGTGGGTGTTGTAAGATCCGACTAAGGGAAAAACTACGCAGAACAACAGCACTGCAGAGAGAAGGAAAACTTGACACAAACCCGAAACCAACCCGTCTGGCCAGCGTGGTATAGTAGGCCAAATCCTCCTTGCTAAGGAGAGGCTTATGTCCAGCAGTGGACCATTAAAGGCTGTTGATGAAGTGTCCATGAATTTCATTTCCACAGTGTACACAGAACATTTGTCCAGTTCAGCAGTAATAGAAAAGTAAACTTAAGACTGAAGTGTTGGCATTTTTAATGTTAGATTGAAAATTATATAATAAAAAGGAGAATCCACTAAGACTGAAAATTCTATTACTAAGCTTATGATACCAAATGGACACAGAGAAAGAATGAACAGTGAACGTTAATGTTGAATTTCTAAGGTTTGAAGTTGGAGTTGTGGAACGTGTGTATTTGTGTATGTTTGTGTGTGTGTTTGTGTTGAGTGAGTGTGATTGTGAATTAATGTGTAATTACGAGGTTGTGGATTTGTGTTGTTGGACAATAATGTGTCGAATATTTTGTTTGGTTTTGTTTTTATACTTAGTTTTGTACATATTGTTCTCTTACCAACTTGTTAGGTTATCGGTATTATAGCAATATTCTCGACATTGTAATTATAATCAAAACACACGTGAATAAATCTAGTGAGGAAGAATTCGCTGAATTTACGGTAGTATTCATAGAAGCATTATGATCTATATATTTATGTTAAGTGACTAAGCAATCGTATCGCTAGCAGTAGTGGTCTCAAGTTTTACTGTTTTCAAACGTTAATAATTAAAAATGGGAACTTTATTTACACAGCTACTTTATTTAGTGATTCATTTCACTGTTGTGCAGTAATCATTTCCGTTAGGGAACTAGTACAGCTTATTTAAGGTATGACCATATATCAACATAAAGTCTGGCTCAGAGGTAAGGGTCATTAACCACTAGACCAACAGGCCCATCAACAACAACAAAGGAAGGTAGGTAAGAAAATGAGATACCTAATGATAAAATGCCAACCAACAAAATCGATATATCTGCAAAAACTTTGTATCAACAAACAGAATCAAACAAAAATTTACAATGTGTATAATGTTTTGTAATATGTGACCTAAGTCGCAATGTAACTCTTGTCAAACATGTAGTAATAGTAATGCTAATAGGTAATTTAATTAGTGATGACGGGCACAAAACAAATGAGTATATATTGGTTTGTGACGTAACCGATGCGGTAATCAAGCGGGTATGATTTGCTGACGAAAGAAACAACATCCTGTTGAGAATTTTATTACACTTTGAACACTATCAATAGATTTTATGGTAACATCTTCTTGATAATTTTTAAGGAAGAAGCTCTTTCGATAGATAATAAAAGTAAATTTGTACTTGTATTAGTAACCAGCAAAAAGGCGATTATTAGGGTAGTTTGAAATAATCTTACTTTTGAAATTTGACACAAGTTTTTTTTTTAATGGAGAACAAAGAAGCGAAGGATAGTTTTGGTTACGTTTATTTACTACCAATATGACAGTTAATAAAAACAAAAAAAAGAGTGCACAATACTTATATCTAAAATTAAAATAAAAAAGTAAATTCCAAGATAAAGGTATGAAAGGTTGAGTGGATAATGAAGACATGTTTTCTGTTGCTGAATTGTTTTAAGGCAAATATGAAGTGTAAAGTAACGCTGTTACGAGTATAAACCTTATGTACTTCTAAAACACCTTACTACCAACTAACATGAACCATTAAATACACTTAATTACTAGAATAGTCGCCAAAAATAGTAGTCTGGTGGTCGGTAATTTATAAATTCCACCTCATTTAAAATAGTTTATCAAACGACAATTCTAGTTTTAATGATTAATAGAAGTGTAATGTGAATGTGATAACGTTATCGATTAATTTGATGATCAAACATTCTTTTAGGTAACGATTATAACTAATTTAAGCTGTTAAAATATTTTGATAAATATTTGAATTTTTGGAAGTAATATGTTATCGTAGTGATATCACCTGCATCAATTTACCGATGTGTAAAAAATTTGCCATTTAACAATTATCATCGAAATACAGTTGGTCATTTATTGAACAAAACAACAAGAAATCTATTTTCATTATAACTTCTTTAGGTACTATTCATATTTATTATAAAAATGCGGCCAAATTTCATTTTTTTATATGATTGAGTGTTTTAAGGGGGAGAGGCCTATGTCCAGCAGTGGACTGTTATAGGCTGTTGATGAAGGAGCAGGTTAAGTGATGCTAAGTGACTACCGTCCGTCCGTACCGTTTTAGATGTAAGTACGGTTTTTTTTTCGAAGGCTGTTTTGTTTTTGTTTCACCGGATGATTGGGCGAAGCAAAGTTCTCTGAAAAGCACATAACGGTAAATTGCTAATTATCTATGTGATGGTTATGTAATCACGTAAATCGGTGGTTTAGAGTAATATTAGACTCAACACGGGCCAGTTTTTAAAAGTGGTAAAACGGTCTGAATCGTCGGCATCAGACGACACAATTATAAAGATTAGGTTTCACATGTACATGTATATGTGGTCATACATTTTTACATGTGTGTATTTGGTGAATGCAAAACTAAATATTATGGTTCATCTTATTTGTTTTATTGTTTTAAATCTTATTTATTAGTTTTGTTACTTTTTTCTCATTTAATGTTTATGTATTTCATAGAAAATGTATGTTTATAACAAACTCGAATTAAATAAGCTAATATTTGATTATCGTAAGATTTGACTTACTTTACATTTCTCTTTAATACAGTATTTCGTAGACAAATTAAAACATCTGAAATCAGGCCACCGTATTACTGGATTTTATCTCATTAAGCTACTGCTAAGCGTATCTGATTCCCTAGTAGCCAATGTAATGAGGCACCCGGCAAACATTGCAGTTACGCAATAGTCGCCTCGACTGGTTTCAGCAAGAGTGAAATTTATTAGTACAGGTAACCGGTTGCTAACCAGTTGAAAATTATGAGAATTTCCATGCTTATTTTTATCGAGATGTGATATGATTGTATCAAATTAATATGCTTATGTTAAGATAGATATGAGATATACCAGGAATGTTTATTATAGGTAAGAAATCACAGATAAAATTGTAAACGGAAATATATTGAGAAGTTCACACGGAAGAAGAACGGTCTTAGAAAAACTTGCTGGGGATACTACTAAATTTAGCATATTTTAACTATTTGTTTTTGGTATTAGATGAAGGTATAGCTTCTTTTAAGACAAGAGAAAAAGATCTCATTGTCTCTATTGCTCTTACTGTTATTACCCTCAAGATTGATGGTTTCTTCGAAATTGTAATTAATAACTCAGCTATGAATTGACTCCCGATACGGTAGCTTAACATCCTGGTGTTAACTTTGGTAACTAATCTAACATTCACTTTAGAGATTGTTGCTTCTTCGAAGACATCAATCACGCCTTCAAAAGATTGTACAGTAAACTACTAACGTGTTTTTAGAACAAATAGAAACATAACAATATATAATTATGTAAATACGCGGAAATGAATCACGTTACCTACAGGTAGGTCCCAGGTCACTCCAGTCAACCTGCGACCACAGCCACTGGAGCCCATTGCTAATTTCCTTGTATGTACATAATTGTATATCATGAAATGCGAAAGCTTTAAATGTTTTAAAATTAATGGTTTAAGAAATGTAATCAATAAATGTTGAAATACATTAAAAACAGCTTTAATTTTACGGAAGTCAGTTAAGGTATGTGACGAAAACGATGTCCAATAAAATTAAAAATAATCACATATTTTGACGTCATTTAAAGATTATATTGGATTCCCATTCAGAAGATAAATAGAGATTTTTCGCTGCATTAACAGTTATTTTTATTTGTAGACACAATTATTACGTAACATGTTTATTTGTGAATGAACAAGGGTTTTGATTATGATGTAAGTGCGAAAAAATGTCTAACATGTATGTATGGCATTGGCCTGTTGATGTCCATATCGTAGTGGCCTCTCTAATCATAGGACTGACATATGGGTACGGATACAGGGTCCTGGCCTCTTTAAGCTTTTGAAGTCTTGGTACTATTTCCCATCCGAGATTTGTGATCCTTTGCCTTCTGTCCCACGCCTTCACCATTTTAAAAATCTAAATCTGGTTTCCTATCTGAGTCTTATTGTCGTATCTCTTACTCTAACTCCTTCGTCTTATCTGTGTTTTTTTATCCCAATTGACCTTCTTCTATTATTGAGTCTGAAAACGATTACATTCCCATGATGAGTTGTAAGGTAGCTGAGCAAAAAAATAATTGGCCATTTTTGCAGTGTATACATTGCGCCGATCTTAACTAATATGGGGTTAATGACAGAAAAATGATGATGTAAGTGCGAAAAAATATCTAACGTGGTTGGATGTAAGACATTGACAGTGGTGTCGCATATTCTTTGTAATCAATGATCTATGATTTTAAATTAACATTGAAGTGGTATATTAAACTTTAGTAACTTATTAAAAAAGGGATTGTTAGGGTTCTATGAGTTCAGTTCTTAACCAATATCTAGTAATATTGCCGAAGTGGTGAGTTTTTCTCTGGCTTCAAACTATTCAGTCTGAGTTTAAGTATTATCTGGTCAATATTCAAGTACATTTATTGCTTTTAAATATAATCATATATTAGGT